GAATATTCCTTCTTCGAGCAGTACCTGTGCCATGAAAAGTATAGTTTTGCTTGTTACACTTACAAATGCACACAATTGTGAGAGAGAGAGAGAAAGAATGGGAGAGAAGGGAAAGAGCACTTGAATGGGCAGCTTATTTTTCGTTGATGTTATCGTACTGCACAATTCCACCTTACTGCTTCTGATGGATTCCATGTTAGGCAAACCCAAATTGTTGATTGTATTTGCATCAAAATTTTATATGGGTTCTAACTTGAAACGACCTTGCAGCTCCACTAGATTCTCTCAAAAAAGCTATGTCGGTTCAGATGCCACAGGTGATGCGTAGGTTACTTTTTCCAACAATGGGCAACCTCTAGCACATAAGTAGGACTCTATGAAGGGTAGCCCTGCAAGTGTTTGTAGCTCTTTACACCATGATATGTCCAACGTATGGAGACTATTAAGACTTCAGACACAGTCTGGTAGGTTTCGAGTTGGATTGGCGCTTAGATTTAGATACCGCAACAAGGGTAAGTCTTTAAAACTCTTAGGAAAAACACCATCATGTAGATTGCATCCTGCAACAGTTAAGTTTACCAATGAAGGTGGAAGCAATAGGGTTGGACTGTATTCCACAGGGCGTTTGGTTGGAAATAAGTTGAATGGGTTGACCAGTTCTACTCCATTACCTCAAAATACTTTAAGGGAATGCGTCCCTCTTAGATATGGACACTCCTCAAGATTTAAGCAACCAGACATATTTAATGTTTCAAGAGATCTAGGTATGTCAAAAGTGCTTGGAAACTTCTTCAGATTTTCACAATTTTTCAGATTCAGGAAAACAAATCTTGGAAGTCTTGAAATTGATTCATGAACTTCAACCAATTTTGCACAATCACTTAGGATCAATCTCTCAAGACTAGGCAACCCCAAGAAATTGGGGGTTGTAGTGAGGTCATGGCAATGCCCGAGGTCAAGGATTTTTAAGAACCTAAGAATCCGTTAAAAGATCAACAAAGAGGAAAGTTGATATCAGAGACAGGCAAATGATAACTCCCACCCCAAAGAAACAAAGTGCAAAAAAAGGAGGGCAATGGTGGATGAGTAGCTTACCTTGACTCCCATCCATACAAGTTCTAAGCTACTATTACGCATGTCAATGACAGCCAAGTTCCCCATGGTGGGTGGCGACGATGGGGGGTGGTGGTGATGTTGGTGGTGTAGTGGGTGATGGTGATGGTGGATTATGGCAGCGATGTTGGGTGGTTGGTTAATTTTTTACTGTTTTGGTGGTGGAATAGTTTTTTACTGTTTTTTGTGGTGAGTGATGGTGGTGATGGCATTAGGTGGCAGTGGTGATTGCAATGGGTGATGGTGGGCTAGTTTTTCATTATTTTGGGTAGTGGTAGTAGATGTTGGGGTGATGGTGGTGGATGTTAGGCTAATTTTTTACTATTCTAATCTTAACTCAAATCAAATCTTCATTTTTTCATTTAAAATTCCGATCTCCTTCCAACAATTCATTTCTTTCATTTTTTTCATTCAATTGTTTTCCTAATTTCTTTTTCTATTTCTCTTCCCTCCAAAACCTTCAATTGAATTATCCCTTTGCTCTCATATTTCTTCCGCTCCCTATTGTTGTCACATTGTAACTCGTCCCTCCTGTTGTCACATTCCAATTCCTCGTCTAACCTCTTCCTCTCACGAGAACTCAAATAGAAAAACAGCAGAAAAAAACTAATTCAATTGACCACCAATTCCACAAGTATGAAAGCACACACACATGTCAATCTATCAAATATTACAACTAAGAAATTAAAATTTTAATTTATAGAAACATAACAATTGTCCAAATTTATTCAAATTTTTCTACTTTAATCTAATAGTACAATATTCATCTTAATTTTTTTTCCCCACTCAAAAACTCATTTTCTCTTCGTGGCCTCCAATGTCATACAATTCAATCACCAAACAATTCCACCAATATATACCTATTAGTTTTGACAAAAAGAAGGCCCACAATCATCTCAATCATGTAATAGGCCAGCCCAACTCATGGCCCACTAGGTTATTAGGCTTTCACGCCTGTCCATGGGCCACTGATGAACTTTTTTGTTGGTGCTATGAACACTGCAAGAATCACCTTGCACTTTTTTTTTTTTTTTAAGGTAATTTGGAAATTGGTACAAAAATTTAGACTTATTTGAGCTAAATTATATTAAGGAAACTTATTTGACTCTAAGTACATTTTTTTGGAAAAAAGACTAAAAGATCATTTATTACTCAATTACTCTCTCTCTCCCCCTTTCTCCATTATTCTCTCACTCTTTTTTTTCCTATTCTCTCTCTGTTCCTTATTTTCTTTTTCTCTCTCTCATTGATAATTTTTTTTTATTTTTTTCATATGTAATGATTTAATTTAATCTTTTCATCTCTCTTCCCTATTTTTCCTCTCTCACTCCCTCTCCTCATATTTCCTTATTCTCTTTCCTTATATCAATGTTATAAAAATATAATTACACTAATTAGTTACACCAATTAGTTATAATTATCTTATAATACACAAACAGTTACTTATGTGTTATAATAAACCAAACAGTTACGCTAAACAATTATACAAAATTACAACGTCAACTCAATTTGTCATTCAATTATTTATAAAAATCAAAGAGTTATACTATTTAGTATCACGACATAGTTACACTAATTAAATATATCAAATTGCCTTTATCATTACACAAAAGATTTTACCATTATACTAAATTTGGTATATATAATTAGTATAACGATATCGTGATACTAAATGATGTAACTATTTAGTTTATATAAATAAATGAATGACATCTTGAGTTGATGTCATAATTTTGTGTAATTGTTTGGTGTAACTGTTTGATTTATAATAAGACAATTGTAACTAATTTGTGTAATTATGTTATTATAATGTTGACATAAATAGAGAGAGAAAATAACGAGAGAGAAACAATTAGAAAAATAACAGGAAAGAGAGATAATAGGGGGAGAGGGATGAAAAAATAAATTAAATCTTTACAGACTTGAAAAATAAAATAAATTATTAATAATAGATAGAGAGATAAAATAAAGGAGAAATAGGGGAAAGTAACCGGGGGGAGAGAGAGAAAGAGATATAAAGAGAAAACAGGAGAGAGATAGTGAGAATTGGGACGGCGGCCTGAAATGACCATAATCATTAAGTCCCCAAATTATATCTCAATAGCATTGTTCAAAATCTTTACATATTTGATTGAATATATAACTATCAATTAAAAATGCATAATTTAAGGGAGGTTATTTAGATAAAAAAAAATTTGATTTCACTTAAATTTTGCACCTAAACACAATATATTTTATTAAAATTAAACTTAATGGAATAAACAACTTTTTCATACACTTTTTTTCTCAAATAAGTCTAAAAAATTATATCTAGTGTCAAAAACCTCTTCCTTTTTTTTTTAATTCTTTCACTATCGAGTCGGATTATGGCTCTTTAGCGACTGAGAAGTGCTAAGGGGTGCGATGACCTATAACGAAAATTGGTGGTGGAAGGAGATCCAAAATGGATCCATCCGTTGCTTAAAACAACACGTTATTTAAGGGAATTTCATACTTTCCGAACTCAAATTGCGTATTGTTACGTCATGTTAGAGCTTTTATAATTTTATCCCAACGATTGATTGATGAGGATTGATGTTCGCTAATCGCTAAATTAAGATTAGGTCCTAATATTTATCTATCGATTTAATCCTTATGTACCCACCACTTGGACTTTCCCCCCCCCCCCCATGATTTATTTACATTATCCTTCTCTAGTTTTAAATCGGGAGAGTTAAGGGTTGTTTGTATAATTTTTAAGAGATGAATTAGATTGGATTTATGAAATCCTTTTAACCCCACTCTTTAGGTTTTATATATGGTAAGCGACACAATTACACATATGACTTACAGATTAATCACAAAGATATACGTTATGGAATTGACCAAATTCACCCTTGAATTTGTTGAAACACATATACATGAGATTCATATGGGCAAGGATTCAAATTTTAAGCTCGAGATTTAAAATCAAACAAAAAAAAAGATGGTCTATTAGACTATTTTGAGAAAATTCATCCTATGAATTCCACCCAAACTCATAAAATAAACAATTACAGTGGACTAAAGCAAAAGAAGATGAAACTTATAATTATTTTCTAAACTTTGTCTCTAGTCTAATCAGCAGTGCCAGTCCGAACACGTGTTTACCTTTGCAAGTTTGTCCTCCATCAACCGTAATCTTTCTGACACGCAACCACCATGCTCAAGCGGTCATGTAATCGTAAAAAGGACTTTATCAATCAAAGTAGTACGGTGTTGAACATCTTCGATGACGACAAAAAGATGACTATTGTGCAAACGTATCCTGCAACAAAGACAATCAATTTTTTTTAATTTATAAAAATACAGTAATAATTAAAATTGATACATTTTATCTACTTTAAATGTATAGTATAAATTCATTATAAAAAAATTTTTGGGTAAAAAATATTATCTTTGACTTCAATCACGGCCTTTAATTCCATACAATCATACTAATCCATACTTACATCTCTCATATCTCTCTTGCATCTCTTATTTTTTCTGTCTTCACTTTTCATATTAAATAAAAGAAAAAAAATTATATTACTATTTAAAGTATAAATATTACATTAATATAAGTATAAAAAATATATTATTTTTCATTGATAATACGACCAATTGAATTTTATTGAATTAAATTCTGTCCAAAGGATCCGCCCATGAACTTTTATGTGAAATGTTGTGTGAGTATTAATATTTATTAAGATTCATTATCTATTCAATAATTTTGATTAATTTAGTTATCGAGTTCAAATAACATTTTTCAACTTCTATTTCACAGTTTTGAATTTCTATTAAATTAATATTGTAAAATATTAAGAAAAATGACAGAGAAAAGCACACTCTTCTTCTCCTCCTATCATTTTCTCTAAAAATTAGTTCAGATGGCAGAGAAAAGCAAAATTTTAGTGATCGGAGGGACTGGTTATATCGGAAAATTCTTTGTGGAGGAAAGTGCAAAAACTGGGCACCCAACTTTTGCACTGGTCAGGGAAAGCACAGCCTCAGATCCTGACAAGTTAAAAATCATACAGAGCTTCAAGAGTTATGGGGTTACAGTGATTTTTGTATGTAATTAGCAAACAAGAATGAAAGTTTTGAATATTCGTCTGTCCTTTTTTATGATTTTTTTTCAAGGTGCAACAACTATTCTGATCATGAGACGCGGATTATTTTTTTCGCAGGGAGATATCTTCGATCATGAGCGCTTGGTCAGTTTAATCAAGCAAGTTGATGTGGTGATCTCTGCGGTCGCGGGAAGACAGAGTGCCGATCAAGTGAACATCATTGCAGCCATTAAAGAAGCTGGAAACATCAAGGCAAGTAATTTGGCCATTGAATATCTTCAATTCTCAACACATCCTCTGTTACAAAAGTAGGCAAACAATGTTGTTTTGTTAAATAGAACGACGGCCTCTGGAGCCAAATCCTCCTCTGTTATTTTCTATGGTAAAAGTTTCTAACGGTATAACATGTTGAGTTTCAGAGATTTCTACCTTCAGAATTTGGATTCAACGTGGACAAGACCTGTGCATGCAAGATCCTGCACAATATCAAAAATATTGGGAACAGATCTCTTCCCTGGTGAAACTTTGAGTGAGCCGGTTGGGTGGCCAAACGCGCTGCTTAAAACAGCATGCAAGGTATGGTGGCAACCTGAAACGGCAAAGGAAGATCCTGGGAAAGGAAGAATTATCCTGTATGTGTGAAAGGTTTTCCTGGAATAAAGAGGAACAAGTTAGAAGGGTGCCGGAGTGTGTTCCGGCATATCCCCTCCGACGGTCTAGTCAGTCTTTGAATGAGAGAGAGGAAGAAGAAAACACTGAGAAAATCTGTATTGTAGTAGAGAGTTTGTGATTGCATACCCGATTTGTCTTTTGGGAGGAGTATTTATACCTTAAAAGCTCATGATTGCTGTCAGTAAGGTCAGTAGGTGATTATCAGGCACAGGTAGCGTGTGTATTGATTTGATGATGAATGTCTTCTCTAATTGACTGCTCGGGATCCCGAGCAATCAATGCTGAGTCGTCGGGACGCCAACGATACAATATGCTCCTTTCGGGAAGGACGCAATAAATGCTCTGTAATAGGAGCATTTATTGCCTTTCATATCCGAACCTTACCGCATTGAATGCGGTCTCGTCAACAGAAGGGTGCAATTAATTGTTTGCTTTCCCAAGCCATGTGTCAGTAACGGCGTGCAGTTTGTCTGTCTTTGATGTGACATCATTTGCCACGCGTCCATCCCTTATTGGCTGTGATTACTGTATTCCGGCATGTTCTGACATTACTTGTGTAAGACGAGGTCATGATGAATAGTCTAGACTGGCATAGGCTGATGACCCGTACGTCGGTAGCTTTATCCGGGAGTAGAGGAAGCGTCCAGGACGGAGTGACTCTCGGCACCGAGGAAAGGCTCATCTCGGGGACCGAGGGTGGTATGTTTCCGAGGTACACGGGTGACCGAGGACACGTGTTGTTGTATAATACACCGAATGCGTGATCCCATGAGAGGTACCTCGGGGGAGAGGACACTCTTTGCCGATGGTGCTTAAATCCGAGCAACACTGTTCCAGAAAACCCGAGGACACGTGTCTTCATCATAGGGCTTTTCAGAAGAGTCCCATCAAGACCCATGCGGTTGAGCCAGCCGCAAGCGTGTTTAAGACCAAGACTCAGATTCGAAGGACTATCGAGGCTGAGGGAATTCCTTACACTTACGTGGCGTGCAACGCTCTTGCTGCCTACTTTCTTCCCAACCTTGGACAATTGGATGATGCCACTTCTCCTCCTAGAGACAAAGTAGTAATTCTTGGAGATGGAAATTCCAAAGGTAATTAAAAAAATAAAAGAATCGATTGAAACAGAGAAGTAGACAATAAATTATAGATTAAAACAGATAGGTAGACAGTAATGATCCGATGAAAAAAATCACTAAGAAACTTTAGTTTTTGATAGTGGAATCGATTGAAACAGATAAGTGGACAGTAAACAATTGGTTTTAGATGGATTAACTTATTTTGTTCTCTATCTTCAAGCAATTTTTGTGAAGGAGGAAGATGTAGCAACATACACCATCAAAGCTGTGGACGACCCTCGAACCTTGAACAAGCTCCTGTACATGAGTCCCCCTGCCAACATAATGTCCTTCAACGAGTTAGTTTCCCTGTGGGAGAACAAGATTGGCAAGACCCTTGAGAGGACATATATCCTGGAGGATCAACTCCTCAAGAACATCCAAGGTGAGTAACAACTATTCTGCCAATCCTGATCGTACTTCCATATCAATTTTCCTCTGTTATATATCATTCCAATTAAGTTTTGCGATAATTTTCGACGAATTGGAGTTGATGGTAATCGGAAATAGGCTCATATAAGTCATACCTGATCATCTTCTTACTGGTTTGGTGCAGAGGCTCCAATGCCCTTAAAGTTCTTTTTGTCCATCTGCTATGCTGCTTTCGTAAAAGGAGATGTTTCAAAGATTGAGGTTGATGCTTCTGTGAGTGTAGAGGCCTCTCATATCTATCCAGAGGTGAAATACACAACTGTGGACGAATTCCTCAATCAGTTCGTCTAAGATCCAACAAGGAGACTCAATTCTCTTCCTTTGCTTCTGCTCTAATAATCTTAATAAATCTTCCGTGTAAAATGCTGTACTTCATAGTTTTCTGTATTGAAACAATGAATTTTGAATCTTGTGTTTAAGCAAATATGAAACAATATCAAACAACCAGACTCGTGCTTCGAAACAAGGACTACACTTTTCTAAAAGGATTTGACTGCTCAAGATCATAATTGAATAGACAAATAGTATTAGATAAATCATATGCCAAAATTACTTTTACACCTTATATATTATATAGTCAATAATATTTTTAGTTCATAAGGATGTATTTTTTATTAATTTGGTCCTCATTGTATTAATTTTGTCAATTTGATATCTAAAGTATTCAATTTGTGTTATTTTGGTTCCTAATCAAACAATCCATCAAGTCTTTTAACGGAAGTGACCACATGAATCAGACAGTCCATCAAGTTTTTTAGCGGAAGTAATCACGTGTCATTTTTTTTAGATGATATCACGTACTTAACTCGTGATCATTCTGTCAAAAACTTAACAATCTATCTATATAGAGACCAAAACGACACGAATTGAATACTTTGTACACTAAATTGACAAAATTGATTTAATAAGGACTAAATTAAATAAAGAATGCATATTTTAGCAATTAAAACTACAATTAACCCTTTATTATTTATTTTATTTCTAAAACATATCGAACTCTTTCACTCTGTTCTCTTTACATGCATCAAGTAAAGTGTAGAACTCGTTCACTACATGGGGGTAAAAACTTATTTAGCCTTAATATCCTATTACAACTTACAAAGACCACCCACATTTTCATCATCCTAAAATAATGCCAAGGAACCCTGAGTCTGTATGTGTTTTAATTTTATAGTCTGGCGGGTGAAGTTGTATTTGTTTAGCTTAAACTGGCAACGCCATCCTGATCACAAGCCAAATCTTTGGCCAGTTTCCGGGCAACATATCCTTCGTCGCTAAATGTATTGCAACTGAAAAACAGTTACTAATGTGTATTTGAAAGCAACGTCAAGGAAAACACTTCAACGTAGATTCTGCTTCCAAATGTGCAATTGTAATCTCATACAAACAATAGTGATGGTTGTAAAAAATTGAGAGGCCTGAGGCGGAGAGCTGGATGAGCTCTTGGTAGATATGTCATGTGTGTGTAAACATGAATAAGAATACACAAGAAAATAGGTGGTTCGTCAGCTGAAAAACTTAGTTAATCCATTGTAATGAAAGTTCTTACTCCTTGATTGTGTATTATTTTCTTGAAGAAGAAGAGTATAAAAGAATTTTTTTCTTACTTGAGGCCCATTTTTTACATAGTGATTATTGCCTTTATAACAGAATATTAGGAGAATATTAGGGAAATATTTAGGGAATATTCAGAAAATATTTTGTGTGACTTATTGCCCAATATATGGTTTGTTGGTGAAAACTTTTTTCTGCCCATTCTAGTAGTTTCTTTGTTGGTTGTTGCCTCCTATATATTTTTCGATATCATCAGTTGCCCCCCAACCCCGAGCAAGGACTGACTTGAGTTGTCCATTAGTTGGGGCTGAGCATTTCAAATCGAACCGAGAATGCTCTGGAGTTTGAGGGGTTTGTCGAAGAAGCTCTACGAGTTCTAAAAATCTTGTTCTGTTTTGGACTTAGGCAAGTTGAGCTAACTTCTTCTTTTAGGCTGAGGAGCCAAGCCGAGCTTACTAGCTTAAGAGCTGAGGAATCTTCTAAGGAGTTTATGATTGGTGGATCAACCCCAATTGTTGTGGTTGAGGAGTCCAAACTTTGTACTTTAGAGTGAGCCTTGGGCTTATTGTCAGTTGAGTAAGTCAAAGATGCCCATGTCGAGCTTTGATTGAATGTGACTAATATAATTAATGAGCCTAACAATGCTGAAGCTAAATAGCTTGATCATGTTGAAGTTGAAAAGCTCGAGGCTAAGGCTGATAATCCTGACAAAGCTGAGATTTATTATACTAAAGAGATTGGGTTAAAGAGTCAGGTTCTATAGCAATTGATGAGCGAGGCAATATTTTAGCTGAAGAGTTAGGTTATACTTCGAGTGAAGACCCATGTCATACCTTGGCTGAAGAGTCAAGTTGTTCCTTGGCTAAAGAGCCAGATGATTCCTTAGCTGAAGAGCAAAGTCGAGCTGAAAGGTCAGGTCGTTCTTTGGCTGAAGAGTCAAGTCATTCCTTGGCTAAGGAGTCAAGTCGGGCTGAATAGCCCCAAATTTTATAAGTAGGACTTTAGCAAATTGTCACAAACCTGATGGGTGATTGTGCCAACAACTATTAATGGTGCTACTTCTTCCTATAGAATTTCTTCTTGGGCATCTGAGAAGACAACCGGAAGTTGCTTGGAGCACACCAAAGTCTATAGTTGGTAAAAACAGCAAGCATGCTCGGTCTTAAGGTGAGCATGATGGACTTGGAGGCCAAAAAAAATATGCCGAAGGAATGACCTGGAATAAATACTAACAAAGAATTTATAATAATTTGGCGAAATCGAGCACTTATCTGTGTACGAGGCAAGGTAAATGACAATAATTTCGATCACAATAAAAATTTGAAAATATAGTTTGATCTAGCATCCAATCACAACCTCAGTGATCTCAAAGGAGACAAAAGACCCAATGATCTTGAGAGATTCAACTTTTAAAGTCATACCCTCACAGTAGCAAATAGTTTCAAAATTAATGAAAAGTTTCATGGCCTCTTGCCGAAGGCTGACCAGTCAAAGGGTGCTGAAGGTACAAGACTATTTGGTTGATTATCTAGATTTTGGCTCATGCTTCTTGAACCATCAGTTAATCGTTAGAGATTTGATTTAGAATGATGAAAATCGTTCTTATAGACGGAGCTAAACTGATGGTTGTAAAAAATTGAAAGGCATGGGGTGGAGAGTTGGATGAGCTCTTGGTGAATGTGTCATGTGGTGTAAAAATGAACCACAATACAAAAGAAAATAAGTGGTTCACCAGTTAAAAAATTTGGTTAATCCACTGTAATGAAGACTCTTACTCCTTGATTGTATATTACTTTCTTGAAAAAGAAGAGTACAATAAGGGTTTTTCCTTACTTGAGGTCCCCTTTTTACATAGTAATTATTGTCTTTTATAACAGAACTAGTAATTACCCGTACCTAAAAACTCTACATTACTCGTAAAAATATATAAATATTTTTTCATAAATATATAATATAATTTGAACAATAGAACGATCAAATTAATATTGCTCAACCTGAATGCAAAACATATATAATCAAACATTTGTATAACGAAAGTCATGCTACAACTAATGCAACATATTAATTCAAAAATTTGAGAAAATATACTTATTATTGGTTAAACATCCACAATTTTAACATTTTTAATAAATGTTATCTCAAATTTCAAAAAAATATAACTATTTGTTTATCTGCAAGTTTCTACTTAAAGTTTATAATATTATCTCTGCGCCATTTTTGTAATTTGAGTTTGTGTAACATTTGTGAGAAAATATCCAAAATTTCACGTGAATTCTTGTAGATGTAAAAAATTTTGTTGAATAATTAAAATCAATTTTTATATGAGTTCAACTTAAATATTCGTAAAATTCAATCGATTTAAAGTTTGGATGGGACTATTCCCACCCCATTTAATTTATCATTATCAAATTACTAAGTTCATTCTTTCTATACTCACTCTATTAGTAACTAAGTTCACCTTATGCTACATACACCTCGTTTAATAATTAAACTCATCTTATATTTTGTCATAATTAGGATTTCATTTTTTATTTCATCTCATGCACTCACAAAAATATTTTTTTAATATGAATTTTTTCAGTAAGATACATATTACTATTACTTTTTAATTTAATTCTATATTTGATTTTCTATTTGTTGCATGTATTTTATTATTTTTGGTATATTTTGATATCTATGTCAAGTTTAATAATTTTTTATATTTAGAATTTATATGTGTGTATATATATGTATAATTTTCAAATTATTTGTTTTTTTTTTTATCTTGTTTAAGTTTTGTATCTATGCTTTGTTTTTTTTTCTTGTTCGATTTTGTATTTATGCTTGATTCTTTTTTTTTTCATGTCCAATTTTGTGTCTTGTGGTTTTGCATTTTGTAGTTTTACTTGTTCCTTTAATTTTTGCTTGATTTTTTTTTCCTTCTTGTTTCGGTTTGTTTCTTTTTTTTTTCTTTATTTCATTCTTTTATTTTTAAAAAGGGTGTATGTAGCATAAGGTAGGTATAGAAAGGTAGATTTATTAATTTAATAACGAGAAATTAAATGGAGTGAGAATGGAGATTTGGGGGTGGGAATAACCTCACCCTTTAAGTTTAAGTAAGAATTTATATTTATATCAGACAGTCAAATTCAACTCAATTTGAGTATTAATCATAATTACGTCAAACAAAAAATTGAATTTAAGTTCGACTCAATTAACACTTCTATATTGAACCTACAAACTAATTCTTATTTGTTCTCATTCACTGTGATGTCATAATTTTTTTTTTAATTTAGTCATTCTTTATTATTTTTATAATCAATTTCACTTTGACTTCAACTTGAATACTTGTAAAATTCAAGCAAAGTTAAGTTGAAATAAGAATATATACTTTATACTCGACAATTAAATTCAGTTTAATTTGAATACTAATCATAATCACTTTGAACCGACAATTGAGTAAAATGAAATTTGAAGGAGGAATTTCGATCGTTTGATCAATAATCTTAAAACAATTTGAGCTGCAAAAAATTCAAAACAAATAATGATAGCCCCTTAGTATATAGATGTATCACATTACATATATATTATTCGCCTATTACATCATTCAAATATTATTGTATTTTTATCTCAATACAAAATATGACATATATTATAATCATTTGATTGGTTTTGACACAAAGAATATTTATTTAAGATCCATTTGTTTATTTAAAATTTTTAAAAATAATATTTAATTAAATTATTATTAATGGCCTAATTAATGTGTAATATGAGATAGAGAGAGATAGAGAATTATAAGAAAAATAGGAGCTTTCTTGAAGAAGAAGAGTACAATAAGGTTTTTTCTTACTTGAGGTCCTTTTTATATAGTGATCATTGTCTTTTATAACAGAATATTAGAAGAATATTGAGAAAATATTTGGTGTGACTAGTCCAAGATATAGTTTGATGGTGAAAACCCTTTTCTGACCCTTCTATGGTTTCTTTATTGCTCGTTGCCTCCTATATATTTTTGGGTATCATCAGATAGTACAACCAAGTAAGATCTCTTTATATTGAGCAACTTCTAAGAATTTTTCTCCTCATTCAAGCTTATTTAGAATCACAACTGTAAATAAATCATAGGCCACCACATGTACACGCAAACTTCTTGTACTTACACCGTGAGAAAGATACAGTTCAACTTCAATGAAATATATGTCTTATTTGTTACGATGCTTGCACTTTAACAATTCAAGTGGGGAGGATCTAGTCGAGCTTTTGTCAAAATTAACACGATTTCTTAAAACAATTTCAAATCTAACACTGGTGGAAATACTGTCAATTCTAATGCTCTAGTGTCCATGTCATTTGCAATCTAAAAACTTTAACTCCTATTCCCCGAAATATTTTCAAGTTTTTGCAGAAACTAATATTGCATTTCAGAATAGATTCCAATCACACATTTTTGCAGAAATTACTTTCATCCAATGACAATATCAAAATACACATAGATATATCTACATAATACAATTTACTACTGATTAGTGTTTTTATGATCATAAGTTTCTAAGGACAACAACAAAAGTTATTGGTTTGATCTCTTGCATAGCCATTTCTTCATCCACCAATCTTCCATAATGCTCAAACAAATTGTCCAAGACACCTTCCCCGAAATGGTGGCAAATCATTGATTCTTGGATGGCCCTGACCGTCATTGCAACAGTCATTCCATAGCTCAAACCATGCTCAACATCACTTTCTATTTCAAACATCTCAAACCGGTCCACTTTAAAAGATCCCTCTCTTCTCACTTCATCTTCTAATTCATCTTTGGATGGTGCATAGAAATGAACTTCATAAGAATCAAGTTTTTCCTGCTCAATTTCTCCCTGCATAGCAACAAAATTGTGTGTCGATTCATTAAAATCAAAATATAACTCGATCTTTAAACAATTGCACACTATAACTACCTGAGAAACTAAAATGGCGAAGGATCGAGATAGCAGTTCCCATAAGAATGCATTGCCTCTATCGACGTGATTTGGACCTCTTCTTCCCAACAAGATCAGCACCATTTGTCCTCCACTGATTAGCTCTTTAGATCGCGATCGAAGGAACAAAGGGAAATCCTCTTGGAATTGGCTAAAATATGCTTGGGTGACCTGTGGAGGACTGGATTCGGATATGTAAATGTTGCTTTTGTTTATTGACCTCCCTTGCTCGTCATAAAGAGCTGGAGGCACCTGCAGAACATAGTGATTACTGGCTTATGATCATCAATTTCAGTTACACATAACCACCACTTATTTGGAAATTGGTGCTTCACATTTTCTCAAAAGCAACGAGGATTCATAATGGACTAAGACCATGTCACTCCAAGAGTCAAAGACAAAAGTAACCAAACAGTCATCTTTCTTTTTTCTTAGTCCAATTTAAACTAATTTAATTTTCATCAATTCATGCCAATTGCGAAAGAATGTGTCATAACTCTTCTTCTTATGTTTTTTTGTTTAGTTCAACGGTGTGTCCAAACCAACTTAGGTACCAAATGTTATGCACAAGGTTTCAATGATTTAGAAAAAATGTGGAAATTTTCTAGAATAGCATTTGTATAGATGATCTCTTTTAAGTACACCCAATTGTTAATAGTGGGTCCTCCCCATATTGACTTATGGTGCTAAGGAAGTCATTTACACCGTGATCTACTTGATTCTAACCTACAATAATGGTAAAGTGGGGAAAGGAAAAACGTATAGGCTTATAATTGCGAGTTGGACTAATTGCGAGTTTTGATATTTAAAAAATATAATGTCAGTCTAACTAAAACAGCGAAAAAACAGTGAATTAAGACAATAAGTTGGGCAACATGATTATTTACAAGAAGCATTATTGCCTTATTGGTGGTAAAAAAGTCATACCCTGGAGAGCCAGTGCAAACTATAGGATGAGTAGATGAAGTGCAAGCACTTGTCTGGAAAAAGTCTTCCATAAAAAGTACCAGGATAACCAGCAAC